CTGGCCAGGGAAGTGGTTGAGTCCCCATCCCTGGAGGTATTTAAAAGATGTATATATGTGGCGCTTAGGGACATGGTTTAGTTGTGGACTTGACAGTGCTAGGTTAACTGTTGGACTTTATGATCTTAAATGTCCTTTTCAACATAAACAATTCTATGATTCTATGCTTGGATCGTTGTCTGACACTTAGGTAGTGGGGCGGACAGGCTGCCTAGCTCTCGGTTGTTCCTTCTAAAGTCAATGGACAGAGAAATGTTCCTTCAAAGGAAAAATGAGATCTCAGATGCACTACCTGCCTTCTGGAATTAACTGCCTTTCTTCAGTAATCACAGAAGAATCCTAGAGAGTCCATGCTGCAAACCAAATAAGTGCCTAAATTTTAATGGGGTGAATTCAGCACATTGGTGAATCATTAGAACTGATTTTTTTTTTTTTTTACAGTTTCCTATTTAAAATAGATTTTCTGGTTTGTTTCCTAACCTATGACATAAAGAAAAAGTTTAACTGATGGAGAAACTGAGACCTAAGTATATCCCTACTATAACTCCATTAGCGTCAATGGACGAGTTTTAATTCCACATAATTAATCTGTAAGATGTTTTCAAGTGCCATCTCTATACAGCTGCAGTGCCAGACTTTAGCAATACATACCTGGCCAGCACAGAGCACAGTCATGCTTCCTTTCATGGCCTAGGAGGCAGCTTTCCCTATCCTCTGACAATTAACAGATGACACTGAGAATGCTCACAGACAAGAAATCCAGGAAATTCTCCGCTTGAAGGCAGAGCAAGAGCAGCCTCCCCTCCTTATAAGAAAGTCTTTGTCTCAGACTTACGCTTTTGCCAGCATTCTGCTAATGCTTAGCTCCAGGTTCTTACTCCTATTACTTAAAAGCAGGATATGATTCATTATTCCTGTGCCTAGACTAGATGTTGCTTCTCTAATGCAAAAATGGTCCCTGAACATATTTCAGCCTTGGTACAGTAGAAACCCTGCAAATTTTCAAATGGATACTTTAACCCCATTAATTAATCCTGTTACATTAAGAACAATCTGCCACTAAAACTACTCGGAAGTTGAGGGTTATAAGACAAAGTACTTCACTGAGGCTGATGTGGAAGTACAGTCAGTTTGGGTTGGTGCTTCTGGCAATACCTTTTTCAATAGACCCAGAGTCCCCTCTACAACCAGTGATTTGACCCCACTGTTTTCTCTGATAGGCAGTAGGTTTGGAAAATCCCTGTAAAGCAGGATAATGTCTTTATGCCTATTTCTCATTCATGTATTTACTTCTACAGAAAACTCAGGAAGACAGTACACTTTAAAACACCTTAAACATCAATCAAATAAATGAATGACTGCACAGAAACAATAAATAATTACCTTCAAGTGTTTCTCCCTCTCCAGAAAGGGCCTCTCCTGCTCCAGAGGCATACAAGGCAGACACAGTCAATGCATACCTAGTGGCTTGGTCTAAGCCTTTCAGCACTTTAGAGGTAGTGTCACCTTTCACAGTCACTTCCTTAGTTTCACCTCCTTGGACTGGAGTGTATGTTATAAAGTACTGCTGCACTTTGCCAGGAGCAGCACTCCAAGACAGCTTCATTGTTGATGTTGTAGCATCAGAAACTCTCAAATTTCTTGGATTTCCTCGGACTGCACATGTCAAAAGATGTTGAGAACAAGTTGAAGCAAGCTTTATTTCTTGGTTTATTTTTTAGGTTACCACAACATAGGGCTTGATGCCGAAAAAATAATTCCTGAATAGCCTGTACTAACACTGGTACTGTATAACTTCACTGTAATCAGGATTGTACAATTCCATCCCCACCCTCCTCAGGCAGAAATGCCCAATAACATCTTTTTGCTCCTATTTTTTTTTCCTATTAAAACTACAGCCTCAATCCTGGAACACTTATATATATCAACACCTGAATATATGCTCAACTTCAACATGCCAAGATCCATGTTGAAGCCACTGTCTGCAGAATCAAGTCGAAGGTCACCAATGAAATGTAAAATTAACACATTATGGTTTCCTACAGAGTTCTTTCTGATGATAGTTTTCCTGGTTTCTAGTATTTAAAATCTCAGTGAAGTTTCACCAGTGACCAGGACAATCATAATGTCTCTGTACTCTTCAGATTTTGTTTAATAAGACATGATACCTATTAAAGGATCATGTATTTTCATACAAATTAAGGCTACAGTGATAACTTTAGCAAATTAAATGTTTCATTCATTCCTTGCTAGCCATTCAGAGCAAAGTGCAAACAGGGTCTGTATTTGCTGAAAAGAAATATAGTTTATATCATTGACAATATGAAGAATCATGAGGAAATTAATTAAACATACAGGTAGATTCTTCACCCAAGTTACCTTGCCATATTAGGTGTTGCAGGTTCAATATATTATATTTTTAAATTAAATATTACAATTTTCATAAATTATATTGTCTTAAATTACCTCTCAACTAGGCTTGAGCAATTCTATAACTCCCTGTTCATCTGGGATAATACATATAAACAATATGTGTTATTCTCTTTTCAGTATGAATATGTCAGCATGCAGGGAGTTCTTCTCAAGCTTACTACATTCACAGCACTGATCATGTACCTTCATCAGTTTTTGCATATCCATTCAGTGAATTTCCAGGCCCAGACTGATACTCAGGAATAACAGACACTTCGTATCTTGTATCTTGGATCAAGTTCTGCAGAGTAGTTGATCTATCATTTGCTGAGACAGTCACTTGTCTTCTTTCTCCTCCAGTAAGTGGTCTATATACAAGCCTGTACCGTAGGACATTTCCTGGAGCTGGAGTCCAGCCAACTACAAAGCTATCAGTAGTTTCATCTGTTATCCTTAAGTTTCTAGGAGCACCTTTAACTACAAAAAAATATACACATATAATTTGTAAATATTTGCTTTTAATCAAGTGTACCTGAAGTGAAACCATTCCAACCGTTCTTTTAGCTCATCCAGTTTACCAAAACAGCAGCTTATATTGCCCTTCCATTGTTTTAAGGTACACAAACCATTAGTGTTTTCTTAAAATTTAGGGCCAGAGTTACAGTCAGCAGTGTAACAAAGTTGTCCCCAAAAGTACATTAATCCCAGTCTATAAAACTGCTTCTGAAACTTAAGACAGTCTGACTGTGGTTAACGGTAAGAGTAGAACTGAACTGTGTAAGGGACGTTTGGGCATAGTGGAGAAATTTCTTAACACAACAAATCGTATAGGTTTCTTTGCTGTGGCGATTTGCTTCTGCACCACCTCCATTTACAGACAGTTGTCAGACACACCTGACTACATACAGGCAGCTCTCCTATTTTAAAGGAACAACCAAGGTAAATGTAACAGGAAAAAAGGTCACCAAAACAATTCTATTTCTTTAAGTTAAATTTTCACAACAAAAAATATATTCATTGCAATATGAATTGCATCTAGTGCTTAAAAAAGGCTTCTGAATTAAGTCTCAAACTGAAAGACAAGAAATAGCCTGTTGTCCCAGAAATTAAGGAAAAACTGTGGTGAATCATTTAACCTAGCCTGCTCCTTGACAAAAGATACAGCAGCCCAGGTGATTTCATACTGTCCTGGTTTTGGCTGGGATAGAGTTAATTTTCTTCCTAGTAGCTGGCATAGTGTTGTGTTTTGGATTTAGTATGAGAATAATCCTGATAACACACTGATGTTTTAGTTGTTGCTAAGTACTGCTTATGCTAGTCAGGGACTTTTCAGCTTCCCATGCTCTGCCAGGTGCACAAGAAACTGGGAGGGGGCACAGCCAGGACAGCTGACCCAAACTGGCCAAAGGGCTATTCCATACCACATGACGTCATGCTCAGTATATAAACTGGGGGGAGTTGTCTGGGGGGCAGCGATCGCTGCTCGGGAACTGGCTGGGCATCGGTCAGCGGGTGGTGAGCAATTGCATTGTGCATCACCTGCTTTGTATATTCCTTTATCTTTGTTGTTATTATTATTATTTTCTCTTCCTGTGCTGTCCTATTAAACTGCCTTTATCTCAACCCATGGGTTTCACTTTTTTTTTTCCCCAATTCTCTACCCCATCCCACCCGGGAGGGGGGAGGGTGAGCAAGTGGCTTCATGGTGCTTAGCTCTCAACTGGGGTTAAACCACGACACATATGAACTCAATGGGCACAACAAAGAAGGACTTGACTCTTCCAACATACATTAAGATCTACTGTACTGCAAGTTGCCTAGCAGTATGTAGCATTGTCATTTAGGAGAAAAAAAAAAAGTTTTGTTTTTTATTGTTTATAAACTAAAGTATAATTCAACTGGAATGTTATATGCCAAAAGCATTGTTCTTCAGTGTTAAATTACAGATCTGTTAAGAGTGGAGCAATTAATAATCCTAGCTTTAAAGAAACTAACTTGTTTCCTACTAATCAGAAACACAATACTCAATTTCAAATTCTTTAAAAGCCTGAAACCAAAGTTAGTTGCCAAGAAATCTGTCTGGCCCAAATTGTTAGCTAGATCTGCATGGAGAGCTGCTGACGTTTACATGATTGCAGAACTCTGCCTTCTCAGACTTGTTGGGATTTCATCAGATCAAGACGCTGACAATTATTTAAGGCAGTATCCATTACAACATGGGAATACTGATTATTTTTATTAAAGCTATTCCTTCTCCTGTCCTTTAAGATCACAAGCTACATATTCTATCAGCCAAGAGTTTCTCTGTTTTCCTAAGGCAAAGTTATGTGTGGCCAAAACATTCTGACTAGTACAGTCATGGAAATAGGCACACCATATTTGGTGAAACCTGTATCTTCCAAACTTAACATCCCAACTAAGCTATTTTATAAATGTGTATTTCTATCAATCCTAAGAGGAAAGAGCAATTAACAAATTTCCATGCCGTTTCTTTTGCTCCCTTGGAACCATTTACATCACCAAAGGTCACAAATGACAGCATGGAATAATGAAAAAGAGTGGATCGATATTTTTAAAAGCATGACTAGACTGAGTATTCAACTACTGGAATAGAGAATCAAATTTACTGTCATCCTTCTCCTTTAAATCAGTGGAAATGCATCATGGCAATTCTATAAAGAAGAAGTACAGCTACCATGCTTAAAATTACAGCCATTGGTCACATAAACTCACACTGACATCAATGGAAGTTTTGAATCAGTAAGAATTACTGGATCAGACCCATGAAGTTCTGATGAGAAACAGCTGACCAAAAACACAGCCCCCTTTGAGCCTATGGTATATAAACCAGAATTTCTATTAATGTAAGTTAGGTGTAGACACAGCAAATTACATAGGTACATGCTTGACTTTAAAT